TATCTCAAACATACAAGGTCGTTTGGTTTGCTTCTTTCCCGATCCAATGACACTCACTTGCGAGCCTTTCCCGATGCGGATTGGGCTGGTAGCTTTGACGATAGGAAGCCAACCGGAAGGTATGCTATTTTTTCTTGGTCCTAACTTGATCTCGTGGAGCTCCAGAAAAAACGAATCATGGCGCGCTCTTTCACTGAGTCTTAATATAAAGCCATTGCCCATGCTGCAATTGAACTCATTTGGCTTGAGTCACTCTTTCAAGAGTTTGGGTTCCCTCTTAAGGATCCTCCTATCTTTGGTGCGATAATATTGTTGCCACTTATCTATATGCAAATCTGATTTTCCATGCTCGTACCAAACATATTGAAATTGACTTCCACTTTGTTCTTGATCGTGCCGCCAAACGACAGCTTAGTGTGCAATTTATCTCCACGTTTTACCAACTAGCTAATGCTCTCACCAAAGCTCTTCCTAAAGCACGTTTTGCATTTTTACGAGACAAGTTGAAGATTCACAATCTCCACTCTTCCACTTGAGGGGGTGTGTCAACCAAATATATATCTACCAAATATAGGGCTATCGGTTTTTTAAGTTTTAGAATTTTATCTCTAGAAGTTGGAAAGTTTTTTATTCTATGTATTTCTTTTGTTGTAAGTAAATCTTCCAGAATGTACTCTTGGGTATATAAATACCATATAAGCTAAATGGAAATATGCAACAATTTTATGTCTCAACATTGTGCCTAAACATCCAATAACCGCTATAATTTGGCTTCTAGTATGACCCCAATGACTGCCGTGGTCCTCGCTTGTGTCAGATGAGGGTTGTCCTCCTTGAATTTCACTAAGGTTTGACAACCGTCACTAATGGTTGGGTAGCAACCAGAGCAATTTGACAAAAACTTAAGAAGCTCATTTTGAAGCATGGAAGTTTAGTTTCTTATCATGGCCCAAAAGAGGACCGCCTTCGACACGCACAGTCACTCAACTCTCCAAGAGTTCTATCATTGCTTTTCCAAATATACTTTATGATTCCACAACTTTACATTTCCACGTAATTTCAATTTGATGTAAGTTCAATTCCAGATAATCTTCTTTCCGATGCAATTTACTTTCAATGTCGTTGAATAGATTCCTCTAGTTGGTTTTAAAACAAGTAAACAAAACCTAGATCAGTTCAATTGGGACTATCTTTGTGACATTCCGAATTTCGGCTCATTTTTGGGATTTATAAAACGTGTAATTCGTCAGTGTGCTTATGGTAAAATCTCGTCCGGCAACTGATCACTCTCGGTTATTATTTTTAAATTAGAGATTTCGCTAGAATCGCACTCGATCGAATTTGGCCGTTATTTAGAACCCAAACTTTGGTGTCGAATTTCTCGGAGTTCCGGGACGAATTTAATTGGACGGTGTCGATATTATTGTGGCCAGCGTCGGTATTACCCGGAATATGCGAAAAGTGAATTTTTGACCGGGTTCAGCTTTGGACTAGTAAACCTCCCTCATAGTGTGTTTTGGGTTATTTTATTTTGACCCTTTTTCCTAAATTGTTAATGAGGGTTATTGTGGACCGTTAGATCGTTTTTAGATTTGAACCGTGTCCGTTGGATCGCGATCGAGTGAGATGCTAACTTTTGGGGTCTCTCTCTCTCTCCTCTCTCCTCTCTGCCGCGTCTGTCCTCTGCCCGCGCACGTCCCCTCCCCCTTCCCCCCATGCAAACGTCCCCTCTCTCTCTCTCTCTCTCTCTCTCTCTCTCTCCTCCCTTCTCTCTCCCTTTTTCCTCTTTTCTTCTTCTCCTTCCTTCTTCCGCCGCGTCTGGTTCTGCTTCGTCTCCGCTTCTGCTCGCCCTGCCCGACGCCGTCCGCCCGAGCTCGCCTGGCCACCGCGCGCCGACGCCGCTCGGCCCGTCGGCCGCCGCGCGTCGCCGCCACGAGCCCCCTCTCTCCTTCTCCTTCCCCTATTTTCCTTCGGCCGAGCCGAGCCCGCCTCGCCTTGGCTCGGCTCACCGCCGCGTCCGACGAGGCCAACCTCCGCCGAGTCGCCGGCCAGCTCGCCCAGCCGTCCCCGCGCCGGCCAGCTCGCTCGGTTAGCTCGCCGCCGTCGCCTCCCTCGGCCCCAGCTCCTCTCTCCTCCGCCCTCGCCGCCCCGGCCGACCTCCACCTCTCCTTCAACTCGTCGCCGCCGCGTCGCCGTCCCAGATTGCCCGCTGCCGTCGCGGCCGCCATACCGCTACGTCGGCGCCGCTCAATCGCCGCCGCCGCAGTCGCCACCGCCGCCGTTCGCCCGTCCCGGCCCGGCCAACCAGCCCGCCCAGAGCCGGCTCGGGCCGCTTGCCCGGCCCGAGCCCGGGCTTGCTCGGGCCGTGGCCGATCCGTTGCCCACGCTACCAGGCCGCTCGCCCGCTGCCGGCGCCTTGCCCGTCGCCCACGCGCGTTGCCCGTTCAGCCGGCCCATCGACCGGGCACGTCGCCCGTCCGGCTCGCCCATGCGCCCCGGGCACGCCGTTCGGCCACCGCGCCCAGCGTACTGTGCACGCCGTCGTCCGGCCACCGTGCTCGTGTTGGCCGGGGCGACGCGCCACTTTTGCTCTGCGCCCGTGCCTAGTCCGGCACTGTTCACCCAAGCCATTTTAGGCCCGAGCCGATTTTCCCCAGGCCAAAACCTTGTAAATAACTTCCTAAACCCTACTTAGTATAATGGGTATGTTTAGACTTGTTTAGGGTGTAATTTTGTACCGGCTTAGGAATTAAATTAGGCGAGGATTAGTTAAATTGATTGTGCTTAATTGGTGGATTATTGTGGTGGTGATTGTGTGGCTAATTTAGTAATTGATTGAGATGAATAACATGACTGAGTTGTCGTGGCACTTGTGGGTGAAATGGATTAATTGAATGTGCCGACTTGAATGTCGGGTCGGTGGGCCGATGTGGGGAGTATGAATTGAATTGGCTATTATGGTGTGTCAGATTGACATTGGTGAAAGCTTGGTGATTTGAATGTGAACTGTACGACGTGTTGAATGGCGAGTTGTGATGTGGTGAGCATGCCTTGAGTTTGATTCGTACGACGTGTTGAATGGCGAGTTGTGATGTGGTGAGCATGCCTTGAGTTTGAATGGCACGACTTGTAAGAATGGCGAATTGTGTTGTGGTGCATGTGCATGAGAAAAGCCCGGCTTGATTTGAGGGTTGACCTGAGGCGCAGTAGTGCGGGTCGTGGGAAAGTGTGAAATGTCGAGTGAGGAACGGAGCCCGGCTTGATCTGAGGGCTGACCTGAGGCGCAGTAGCACGGGTCGTGGGAAAATGTGAAATTTCCAGTGAGGGACGGAGCCCGGCTTGATCTGAGGGCTGACCTGAGGCGCAGTAGCGCGGGTCGTGGGAAAGTGTGAAATGTCCAGTGAGGGACGGAGCCCGGCTTGATCTGAGGGCTGACCTGAGGCGCAGTAGCGCGGGTCGTGTGAAAGTGTGAAATGTCCAGTAAGGGACGGAGCCCGGCTTGATCTGAGGGCTGACCTGAGGCGTGTTGACGCGGGTCGTGTGAAAGTATGAAATGTCCAGTGAGGGACGAAGCCCGTCTTGATCTGAGGGCTGGCCTGAGGAGCAGTGGCGCGGGCAGTGAGAATGGACCTGAGGCGCAGTGGCACGGGTCGTGAGATTGGGCCTGAGGCGCAGTAGCGCGGGCTGTGAGATTAGGCCTGAGGCGCAGTGGCGCGGGCAGTGTGAAAGGACCTGGGAGGTCGTGAGAAAGTTGGCTGGACCACGCATGTTGCATAGTATTTGATTATGGGGTGAATACTGCTAGGCATGGTATGGGACGTGCCCAAGTGGTTTTACCTTATAATCGAGACACGCGCAAGTGTTGTTGTATGATGCATGGGAAATTTTCTTATGTGCTCTGAATATGAGTTATGCTGGATGCATTAATGTAATTTGACTATTATGCAGAGTTGGCGTGTGAATGGAGGTGAGATATGTATGTTTATGTGAGTTCTAGTATGTCTATTGCTAGATTGCATGTTGAGACTTGTCTGGGTACGCATTGGCCTAGGTGGGATTTAGGGTGTTGCTTATTGAGACTCGTTTTCACGGTTATTATTTAACCATTTTCAGATCCGCGACCGTGATTGATTGGAGACGCCACCAGGGTATCTCGGGAGTGGAGGATGGGTCAAGTTACCCCATATTTTGTATGCCCCTCTTTTGTATAGCGAAGTAGGATATCCAACCACTGTTCCGTTTTGATGTTGTGTATTTGGAATTATTGTTTTGTGCTATCCCTTTGTCATAGTTTATTGTCTGGGTTGTTTTAAATTCGCTTCCGCTTGCCTTTATCGTTGGGTGTTTCGTTTGGGTCGATGACGCGTCCTGGGACGTCGCGTTCAATACGACCTCGTGGAAAGGGGTGTCGCGAGCCCGTTGGGGTTCGGGGCGTGACAATCTTATGTCTAGACCAACTAAGCTTGTCGATTCTCAGGCTGAATCGACTGGGATGTACACCTCTATTTTCAATGAAACATCATTAAAGAAATATTCTACGCTCATGCATGTCATTATCCCACTTCAAAATTGACTTTCTTTTGTATTATTGTTGTGATTTGATTGATTTTAACATTAGTACAAATGTGGGTTTCATTGGATCTTCAATTTTATGATGTACCAATGCTTTTAAATATGTATATATTCATATATAAGTAAGAATGTAGGCCACTTGTCATTGAGAAAATAAATTTTCCCTACGTTAGAATTTTCCAACAAACAACTTTCTCTAGCCCATTGTTCAAGGGATTCTAACCGAGTAGCGGATTGGCTTTACAAGGCCCACATATTGAATGATCTACCTTCTGATTGGCTCTCTCATCCCCCCATCCCCTTTGAGATCTTCTTTGTCTCGATGCCCCTGATGTGGGTTTTGTTGTTTAACAAATTCAATAAATTCTCTTTCGACAAAAAAGAAAAACTTCTTCTTGAGACAAATTATAGAATTGCACTTGCTAACGTGTGAAACTTGAGACATGCTATAAGTCTCTTATGGACAAGTCAGCGTATGAAAATTCCCTAAAGGTACATGTGAAATATGTATTAATGTTAGCCATATTCTCTTATCATATGTAGAATGCAAATCAAAAGACTAAACAAGCACACAAGAAAAAAATTGCAATATTCGCTTAAACTTGTCCACCCTTGTCGTCATATCTGGGCGTGATGCTTGGGGTAGTATCATTCGCCAAGGGATTGTTCCTTTCATTTGAACTTTCTCCTTGAATTGATGAAGTTGCTTGACTCCTTTGATCAATCGAACTCCCCAAATTCCGCTTAAGCTCCTCCATTCGTGCCTTCATTTGCATGAGCTCTTCTAAGTTCAACTCTTCAACGGGAGCTTCCCACCATCCCTCGCCTTTTCGTCCTTTGGTCATTCCCTTCAGCAGTTTACCTCGTGCCTTGTCAGCTTCAACTTGATTAATGAGCTTATCGTTTTGTTGATTGAGCTCATTAATCCTCAGTCTACGATAGGACTCAACCAAAGTGTCAGCAGCATCGTTTTCGGAAGGGTTTTGGTTGAGGAATCGGCTGGCAATCGAATTGATCGATGGATGAGCGAAGGAATATGGTTTTCTGGTAGGAGAGAATATTACTACTCCCACCTCCGAGCCAGTGAGGGTGACAAGCTCACTTGCTTTTTTGTAGATACCAGATCTACGTTTGGAGAATGTTATGAGCTTATCTTCCTCATTTTCAATTTGCCTCATCTCGATACTTTGACGTCCTCTTGTCCTTCTTCCTGCCATGATTGAAAGCAGTAATTGAAAATAATTGCAAGATAGTATAGTTATGATAGTAATGTCAAATTCGGGGTCAGCATAATGAAAAGAATGCACCTATTTATAAGGTGATGGTGATGTCAAATCTAGTATGCAATGTTTTGGGATAACCTCTTCAAGGTCACCTTCCACGAAATATTTTTTTCAAAAAGAGTAAGAATTGTTCAAGGGAAAGGTGAATTTTCCAATAGGTGCACGTATATAAATGTTTTCACAATTTTAAGGCTCAACTTTGTATTTCTTACCACATTTGCTTTGGAAAAATAATCTCTATAATTGACTATTTTATAATGACAGAGCCAAATTAACATTTGCATTTTGAGTGAGACGTTTAAAACATAAGCTCCATTGGAAGCACAAATTGGGCAAAAATCTTATTTGGGAAATTAAGATTTGAAGATTACAACAAATTGTAATGACTATATCTTGTGTACATTCTTTGGGATTTTTTTTATGGCTAATTACGTAATTTGGATTACTCTATAATAGGTCACTTGAAATTTGTTACTATGAATGCTTTGAATAGATAACATATGAAATTACTTAAACATATGTAGACAATATCAAAGTAGCATGTCGACCTTTTGAAGGAATTAAATGGTCAATTAACATAAAAAATTTGCTGGCATTTATAATATCATTTGCTATTTATTATGTATAATGAGAAGATGGTCTTTCGTAGAAAACTGTCTTGATAAACAAGATCGATTTAATATAAAAACTATTTCACATTATCTACAATATTTTTTGGTTGAAAACATTATCTAGATTGCTAGATTACAAATGATGAATTCTAGTTGTGTGTTTTTCAATCTGACACATTTTGGATTTCTTTCCTTAATGCCCCATATGCCAATTTTGTTCTTTTGCCTTATTACGAAATTAAAACTTTTATCCATTTGGTTGCAATATTGCCATAATAGTTTCTTAAATACGAATCTTTATCCACGATCAACACTTGAGATTTTTTCTAAACGAAAATTTTCAAGAGATAATATTTTCAGCTTTCAAGTTAAGGATATGTAGCACAACTTTCTATCATTTTTTTTGCATGTCTTCAGTACATTAACTGTATGATGTAATTAAGAAAGTATTTGTAATTAGACAAATAGATATAAAAAAAATGTTGTTATAATATGTACATAGATCTAGATGGCTCTATCATGTATAACATTAATTTGCAGCACAATACTAAAACAAGAAATTTGTTGTTACTTGAGGAATGAAGACAAAGTAACATTTTTAAGACTCTTCTATATATCAAACGCTAAAAAGGATAGTCCATGATATATTTGATTGGATATTCTATATGTAGAAAATACGTGATCTAAATATTTTTTTGAGCATAAAATTGAATCTATAACTAGATGAATAATGAATTCATTGTACAAAATATTTAGGGACAAATGTACTTCTACTCCCCATACTTGGGACCAAAGTTCACCTTTTTTGAAATTTTGTTGTGGTTGATGATTTTTGGAGCACTTGAGTCATACCTGTCGCGCCGCGCCCGAGCGCGCTTGGAGGTACTTTCGTTCATCACGAATGGTAAGGTATCCCATAACTAAATGAACGACGGTCTCTCCCCGACCATATCTCACGAGACAGGGGGTAATTATTTTCTAATACAATCTATTTAGTCTACACTTCATTTTGGAGTCGCCACTAATCTTTAGTAGTAGACTAAAAACCCTCTCGAGATAGGGGAGAACCATCTCAATTTCTGCGAACCGGAGACATCATGGGTAGGGGGACTTGGTTACGTTAATAACTTCGATGTCAAAATCCCTAACGCTCTTTCGGTACCTAACTTGATTTGAAGTGTCTAGTGTAGCGTGCAATTTCTCGAGACTTATCCGCTAATCCTAACCATTCTAAACGAGGAAAAATCAGTCAATCATGAAAACACAATCAATTCAAATCACAAACCACAATCCTAATATTGTCTGTAAAAAGGAAAATCAATCAAAACAACCAAGACCTAGTGAAGCCCCAAAGGCTTGTTTATTTTTAGGGGTTGTGCTTTTTTTAGTGTTTTTAAGGTTTTTAGGGGTTAGGCCCCTTTTGGGGGTTAAGCCCCATTTTAGGGTTTTTTAGGGGTTAAGTCCCTTTTAAACCTCTAAACTAGGAAATTTTCAAAAGAACAACTTGTGCATCCCCAAAAATTCTATTATCACTCCAAATGGGTGGCCACAAGTGTTTTGAGCCATTCTTCACTTTTTCGGGATTTTTTTTTTATTTTTTTTTAAATATTTTTTGATTTGATTTTCCTACTTCTAGAAGTCTAAAGTTTCCATTTTTTCGTATTTTCTGAATTTTTCCATTTTTTATGAAATTTTTGAATTTTTTTTATCGATTCCTGAATTTTTCTTATTTTTTTAATGAATTTTCCGAATTTTTAATGAATTTTATGCATTTTATTCATTTTTTTTATGAATTTTCTGAGATTTTCTGCAAATTTTATGAATTTTTATGAATTTTTTTATGATTTTCCGAATTTTCAAAATTTTCTATTTTTTCTTATTATTTTTCTGAATTTTCGAATTTTTTTTATTTTTTATTATTATTTTTATTCCTCTTGGGAATAAACCGGACCGGTTCAAACCTGTTAAACTATGTTGGACCACTTGACCGGTCTCCGGCCAACCCTCCGGCGAGGACGGTGCTAAAATGGCACCGTTTTTGGCTTTTTTCTTTGGAGCATTTTATCAAACACCTAGTGTGCATCTAGTATAAAATTTGTTCCCCTCACCGTGACTTTGGGCTCATCTTCGGCGACCCTCTGCCAGTATTCCTGCCACTACCAATGATCCTAAAGCATCTACTCAGCACCCTCTACCAACCTACCACCACCAGACCACCGCCGAACCACCATCGACTGGCATTTTCTAGGCTAGAAAACCTATGCTCAAAACTGTCCTACGCAGAACATCCTTCCATCTAAACCTAATCCTAAGCTAATTATCCATTCTAATCATCAAAACATACATTAACACATCAAATGGATCACAGAAAACTAACTTGGACGGTCATTGGGCGTAGGAATGTGCTCTGGTGAGGTTCGTATGCTCCAGCAAAGGTGTTTATGGAGGCCGACTCATGGATTATACAAAAACACGATCCAAAATGCATAGAAGAAACAAACAATCGATCAAAAACATGAATATGGAATCATTGATCACAAAAACTAAAAGGAAATCGCTGAATCAATCACAAAGTGGTTCGGTCACTCAATCAGGCATTTCAACAAACAGTTGGTAGGTGAGTGAGAAAGAAGTTACCTTCGTCGCCGGCGACCAAAACTGAAATTCCGTGTCACTGGGAAGCTTCAGCTTGGTCCTCTCGCACCTTCTCTATCGGCCTACAGGCTAGGCTTTGCCAGGAAAGGTTTTGATTTGCCAATCGGAGCTGGGTTTCAGGCCTTCCCGATCAGCCTCTTCACTGGATGATCAGAGGAGGAGGTCACCTAAAAGGATGATTCGCCGACGCCTTTCCCGTCGGGATGGCGCCGGTCACTCGTCCAGGGGGACTTCTACTCTTTCTCTCTCTCAATTTCTCTCTTTCTCTCTCTAGTTCTCTCTCTCTCTCTCTAGTTCTCTCTCTCTCTCTTGGGAATTTTCTTAAACGGCTTCTTTGCCTGGAACCTCTTCATCCGCCTGTTTTTGTTCTCCTCCCCCAGGTGGATTCCGCCCTCTAACCGCCTCGATAGGCCGTTGCAACGGCTCCCCGCCGATAGCTGGAGGTCCCCAGTTGTCCATCTCCATTTTCCACGTGCTTGATTAAGGCATCTAGGTCGGTGAATAGGCGGGGCTGACTCAGCTTTTTCTTCCCTTTCTCGAGCAAGACTAAGTTGGATAAGGAAGAAGTTGACCTGGGTCGAATCCGACCGACCCGGCAGACCCGGGTTGGTTTAAAATTGGAAATTGAACCCGATGTTGACCCATTTTAATGATTTTGACCCCAAATTTCAATTCCTTGACACATTTTACTTTGAAATATGGGATCACTTTGAATTTTTATCTCAATTAAGCCCAAAAATCCCAAATTTGAATTCAGTTCAGGTCAGTTTTTATTCAATTGAAAATCTAAATGACCTAATTTTTCTGATCTAAGGCAAAAATTGGATTTCCCATGGTCAATTACCCTTAGGGAAGGTATAAGCTTTGATCAAAAATTTCAAATTGAAAGAAATACCCAATTTGGGTCCTAAAATCCCTAATTTTCAATTAATTTTGGGGTTTTTCAATTATTTTACCAAATTGTGAAATTGGACCGACCAATATGAAATTAAAGGTCCTTGAATCAATTGTTGTGAAGACACCACAGCCTAAAAATGCTTAGAAACGACTTGATTGGATTTTAGTTCAATTAGGATATGAAATTACCCAAATTTGGGGAAAACGTATCCTTAATTAAAATTTTGTAAAATGTAGGAATTAAATTGGAATTAAAAGAAGACTGATGGATTTTTTTGGAAATTTTTAAACTTTATTTGGCATTTTTCGTGATTTTCTTCCCATTTTTACTAAAAGAAATTAAGGAAAAATTAAAGAAAAATCTAGAAAAATCATTTTATGTTTAGAAATAGGTTCCTAAGCATGGCCAAGGTTCCTCATCCTAATTTTATGATTTTTATGTAAATTTGAAAATTTGATCAAAAATCAAGTGTTAACAGCTGCTCCTCTTTAAGATTAAGCTCGATAGAAGTTGATCTCAAAGTTAAGGTGACACCTGAGTTCTAGTCAACTCAATTGAAAAGATAAATGAAAATTTCACAACAACTGATCAAGGATCTTATCTAAAAATTCTTGTCCTAATCCAATTTTTTACTTTAGTGTTCTTGATGGAATTTTGATGACTAAGCGAGAAAAAGGAACTAACCTGCTCATTGGCAATTTTCATTCATGAGAGATTCATTGTTGATTATTTTAGAGAGTAGAGAATGATGACAGTGATGAACAAAATTCTGGGCTTGAAAATGTGGTTTAAGGATAAACTCACTAACCTTGAAAACGTGGTTTAAGGATAAACCCACTAACCTTAAAAACGTGGTTTAAGGATAAACCCACTAACTTTATGGTTTAAGGATATATCCACGAATATCGTGGTTTAAGAATACATCCACGAACCTTGAAAACGTGATTTAAGGATAAACACACTAACCTTGAAAATGTGGTTTAAGGATAAACCCACTAACCTTGCGGTTTAAGAATACACCCACGAACCTTGTGGTTTAAGGATACACCCACGAACCTTGTAAACGTGGTTTAAGGATAAACCCACTAACCTTGAAAACGTGGTTTAAGGATAAACCCACTAACCATGTGGTTTAAGGATACACTCATGAACCTTGAAAACGTGGTTTAAGGATAAACCCACTAACCTTGAAAACGTGACTTAAGGATAAACCCACTAACCTTGTGGTTTAAGGATACACCCACGAACCTTATGAAAAGTCAGGGTTTAAGAAAAGACCTGAAACCATTTGAAAAATCAAGGTTTAAGGAAAGATCCGGAACCGTTTGAAAAATCAGGATTTTAGGAAAGACGCGGAACCGATTGAAAAATTAGGGAATTTGAACATTTTGTTTTTTTGATGTCAAAACATGCATTTCTTATATTAATGCATTTAGGCAATCAAACTTCCTTCAAAAGGATGCATCTGAGCAAATGACTTGAAATTTCTCAAGAGATGCTTAGATCATCAATTGGAAGACCTCCATTAAAAAGGATTTATTTCAATGTCTGAATTGGGCTTTCATTTTCATCCGTTGATACGGAAATCATTATATATCTCTCAATCTATCTCTTATAACCAATCATTGGGTATTCAGAGATATTCGCAATGTATACAATCCGATTGATCCGATAAGGTTATTTTGAAGGATTGTAATGTAGGCTTGGTCAAAGGCTATTCTAAGGATAGGCATTTTGAGGCCAAGAAGGAAGCTCGTCATCTTCTTTTTTGCTTCGGGTCTACAAGTTAAGAACCTCGAGGATAAGATAAGACAAGATTGCATACACTTCTTTAAGCGATGGCTTCTGATATGAAATTATGCTTCCACTCTCAATATCCCAATCTGAAGAGTCTTTGGGGAGAGGTTGTAATGTTAGTATTGGGTAGGCTCAAAAGGCTCATTTGTTTTTAAATTCAGGATTTTTGTAAAATTGGTGCTCCTTTTGGCATCACCACCTTTTCCTTTGTCCACTAGAAATCTTTTCTCTTTTCATAACCATAAGAGTCCTCTAGATGCTCACCATGTTTTTTTCTTTTTAACTTCTAACTTTTGTGATCTTTGATCTTTCCACAACTTTTGTTTTTTTTTATCTTCTTCTTTTGAATGCTTTTTCTTTTTTTCTTTGCTCACTTTTATTTGGGCATTGGCCTTGCTTTTACCAAACACACTGCTTTTTCATGCCCTTGATTCTCATTGTATCTACATTTTTTATTCTTTTGGCTTTCGACCTTTTGAGCTCTAAGGACTCTTTGTCATGCTTTTTGGTATTATCAATCTGAGGTGGATCACATGCTATGCCCCAATGTGAGGAGATGATCACCAATTTGGGTTTGAAATGAACATTCAAGCTCAATTGGGCTTTGCAAAAAATAATGTGTTTGGGATGAGAAATGAAATGCTTTTTTTCCTTTTGGAATGTTTTAAGCTTCCATATGATTTCCTTCGGAGTCATCACAAAAAGATTGATGCTAGTATATGTAATAGAATCTTTCTTGATCCTTTTCTCCCAAAAATGTCAACCACGAACCTCCTAATTTGCCTCAATGTGAGGTGGTTCTTAACAGGGTTGTTTTGAAAAACTTCTTCATCTTTTAGGCTCAAATTTGGCTTGCAAGGGATAATCATATATTTAGGATAGTGAAATGATTGACTTTCATTATTTCAATCCATATAATCATTGCGAATACCTCCTCTCTCCTTCGAATGAGGCTCTCTCTCACTTTTGACATCCACTCTTTTTTTTCTCTCAAGTGTATAGAGAACGTGTTTGGATATGGCTTACTTTTCCTTATCTGAAGGTCATTCCATTTGATTTCATTCAAACATTTTCTTTGAATTTTTCAAGACTTTTGTCAAATCATCCTCTTTAGGGAATTTTGATGCATAATGCATGCTCAAAGAACACGTGTTCAAACCTTTTGGTTAAAACACTTTGTGATGATCTTTGAAATGATTTGTTTTAATCTCATGATAATCTGCTTGGAAAGTAAAACTCAATTCTCTTGGAAAAGTAAACTTTTTTAGGACCTAAGTTCACGAGTTAGGGATACTTACCTGACTGGCTTGATGGGATCCCTTTTCATGTCACGCCCCGAACCCTACGACGCGCGATCATCCCTCCAAGGTCGATTACAAGTGTCAAAACGGGTCAATAGCCACCAACGTCAAAAGGGGGTACGTGGCTCGGTGGTCAAGCACTATATCTAGCCGGGCTCCTCCCAAAACGTAATGAGCAATCAATTGCGCAACGCCACATATTCAATTTGCCACGCAATAAGCTCAATCCACATTTCAATATTCCCAACCAATATACTGGAGAAAAGGAAGAAGAAAGAGAAGAGAAAAGGAAAAAGGAAGAGAGAGAGAGAAAAAGTGGGGCTGACATGCATCGTGCGCGAAGGGATGTCGCAAGGGAGTGGGTGGCGTGGCGCAGAGGAGAGAGGAGAGAGAAGAGAGCCAAAAAGTCAACACGCACTCGAGCGCGATCCAACGGACACGGTTCAAACTCAAAATCGGTCTAACGGTCACGATTCAAATTCGAAAAACGATCTAATGATCCACAAAAATCCTAATTAATATTATAGGACAAATGGCCAAAATAAAATAACTCAAACACACTACGAGGGAGGTCTACTAGTCCAAATCCGCACCCGATCCAAAATTTCACTTTCTCACTATTCTTGGAAATCTCGACGCTGGCCACAACAATATCGACACCGTCCAATTAAATTCGTCCCGAAACTTCCGAAAATCGACTGCCAACTTCGGGGTCTAAATAACGGCCAAATTCGATCGAGTGCGATTCTAGCGAAATCTCTAATTTGAAAATAATAACCGAGAGTGATCAGTTCCCGGACGAGATTTTACTATAAGCACACTGACAAATTACACGTTTTATAAATCCCAAAAATGGGCCGAAATTCGAAATGTCATATTTCAACTTGGTGGAAATCCTGCAAAGATTAAGAATCAAGTGTTAGAATTCATTTGCATAACCCTTATGACCAATTGCAACAATACTACCAACTTTCTTGTGTGCTCTGGTTTGATTCCTTTGGGGATTTATTTCTCGTGATTTCCTTCCTTTGGATTCCCTGAGGATTACAAATTGGAAAAACGAAGAATGTATTAATGAATGACATCAAGGAGAGTAAATTGAAACGACACGTTCCTTTACCTTTTACCAATTCCATTGGAAAATTTGAGATCTCACATCGTCTTAAACTTCTTTGGGCTTCATTCTGTAAAATGAACAAACATGCTTATGAAATACATGATATACAAATGTTCTAAAGTAGCCCAAATCATCTTCTGAAATGTCTAATCTGGCTTTTCATTTCATTCATAAGTAGAATATTTTGACTGCATCTGAATTTACAGGATAAGTCAATTATGTTCCATCCATGTCTACAATAATCAATGCTCCACCTGGTAAGACTTTCTTGACAACATACAGGCATTCATAATTTGGGGTGAATTTCTC